TATTTCATTCGGTCCAAAAAAGCCCTCTAACAGCACAAGGACATGTTGTGCTGCACTGAAAGGTGGCTTTGAGGGATCATGTAATCTGCCCTCGCCTGGCCTTGCGCTGTCTCTTGCTCTAGGGCTGGAATCAAAATACCATCTCAGATACTGCAGCCCAATTGATTGGAGCTGTTTCAACCAATTCCATCTCTGTGTTCTGGAGGAAGACCTTTCTTTCCTCCTTCCCCATCCTGGTCGGATAACATCCAGGAAACTTGCTGTCCAGATGAGATGTTCATCTTGTGCAGGGGGGTGACCCTGTGAAGGAGACAAACAGCTTTCTAGTGAGCGGGCATGGGTGGGCTAATGATGTTGGAGCAGGAGAGTGATAGGAGGGAGCAGATGAAATTATGTCCTCCATTTCTTTCAGCCAGAAGGGTTGTCAGGGTCCAAGGGTTGGAATACAGATGAGCAGCTGTGAGGCAGAGGCTGGAAAGAGCTTTTTTTGTTCGTGCTGAATAACACTTGGTGCATTGGCTGCCTGTGTCTAGCTGTATGCTGTCCTACAGGGATGAGAGCTGTGCCCTGTTGTCTTTTCTCATCCTGTTTCCCTGGAACTTTCTACTGGGATGATGCCTCCTTAGGCTGAGCTGCCTCTGGGGTCCCTCTCGAGGGTTACTGACTGATGACATGCACTGAGCTTTAAAGCTGTGGGGTTTGGCCTCTTCTCTCACCTATAGAAACGTAGTTTTCCTTCTGGTTTGCCATGGCAAGGAGGGATGAGGGTATCAAAACTTGCTCAGGCCAGCCTTAAGTGAAACAATAGGGCTCATAGCTCTGATGTTGGTTGGGTACTCCTCTGTATTGCCAGTGTCCCTTGGCAAGAAGGGAATGGGATGAGAGCTCCCAGTGAATGTGTTACTTTCTCCTGGGCTGTATCTCTCCACGGTCACTCTCTTGCAATTGTATGTATATGGGTGGTCCCTCTACCTAGCTGAGCTCTTGGAAGCCCACCAGGAGAAATACCTCATATGACTATGAAATACAGAGCCTTTATACAGCCATCTCCAATGTTATGCTTTACCAGAACACAGTCTCCTGGGGCAGGTCTCTGAAGGGAACCAAATCCTACATCCAGCTTAATTTCTTCTGACCACTGCTGTCCTAGACCAGCTCACATACCAAAGGCCTGTTGAGAGCAGGATCCTGTGATCCTTTTTTGCTCTAAGTGTATTTTTCTGCTGTTGGGAGTGCCTGGTGTCTTCAGGGAATGGTGGACGGAGGTAGTGCTGTCAGCCTTGCCTGTGGCTGTGCTCCCTCCTGATGCTCTGTACATCTTCAGCACCCCAGTGTTTGGAGGAAGTTGACTGCAGCTTTATTTACATGCCATGGGTGGGGATATAATAAAAGGAAATGAAGAAGCCCACACTAAGAGCAATGGCTTTTGTTTGTCACCAGCAATGCTGTGAGTCTGGCCTCACTAAAAAGCAAATACTGAATGGCCAGCTGCCATCCCATCTTGGGCTCTGGCTGTACTGTCTTGTCTGGAGAGAGGAGCAGAATCAGGCCCATCTGCTCACTGCAGGTCCTGCTGCACAGGGCGGTGGGAATGATGTGAGGCTGTTCCCCAGGAATTAACACTGGATGAAGCACGTACTTAATCACAGAAGGTCGGGCTCTCCAAGAGTTCTCAGAGTAAGACCCCCTCCTCTTTCCAGATGCTGGAATGTCTCCGAAGAGTTCTCACTCTGGATAGACTTTTTTATTTAACTGCTTGGCCTCTGCCCAAGGGAGTCTGTGTGGCTTTATGGGAACGGAGTTTTATTTGAGCAGTGAGTGTTGTGCACGTTTGAACATGTGTATCCAGTGGATCATTCAGCTGGGGATGGAATTGCACTGTTGACCACAAATCTTTGTGCATATGCATTGATGACACTTATCTGTAAAGTTATAATCTTTACTTGGTTAAAGCTTCTGAAATTATACATCTGCTTGTTATTCTCTGTGCTCTGTGATGCTCTGCTAAGCCACCTCCTGCCCTGCTGCATGCTTGTCTTTATTCTCTTGTGCCTCCCACCTAGCTGTAAAGTAGCTGTGCCACTGGGCCTTGCTACCCAGCTGTGCTTTTGGGAAAGAAGTGATTTCCTTGGGGTGTCTGAGGCTGGTGGAGCAGCAGGGCTGAGGACCCAGCCTCTCTCCTTGGCATCCAGAAAGGATCATGATTGTTCTGTGGCTCCCTGAAAGGAGGTATGTGCTTGTGAGTGCAGGGAGATACACTAACCTGACTTCCAGGAGAACAATTTTGTTATTCCTATTTCTTCTAAATGGATGGGAGGAAGACAGGATGAGGAGAGAGGAAGAACTCTGAGCATTAAAAGTTGCTATGAGACTGGTAAAGGCCTGTTATAAATGCAGGGCAACACTTCAGGGTGTTTCAGTCACAAAGGGAAGGGAGCATGTAAAAATGGTCTGAGTCCACTTCATGGGTTGTGCATGGCCCCTGCTCTGAGAAAGGTGGTGTAAGTTCAATGTTTGATATTCTGGAAAAGCATCTTTGTGGTGTAGCATTTATCAAAGTTTCAGGTCATTGTCCAGTCCAACCCTGAACTGCTGTGTGACCTCCTGGAAACCCTCTGTTACCTGTGTGTGCCTCAGGTCTCTCCTTGTCTCCTCAGCTGGATCTGTTCTCTCCATGGCAGCCTCTCTGGCTCTTAAGGCTTTCTGCCTGAGCACAGCTCTGGTTTTGAGGTGGTAAAAACTCACAGCATTTGTGGTTAAAAGCCAAAGCTTCCAAAGGGTCTGAGCTCCATTTCATGTGTTCCAGGGAGGCAAATCTGGGAGGGAAGGGGAAGATGTGAGGGAAAGTTTTGGCTGTAAAATGGAGTAGCATGGGGTTTTTTATTCAGGGCTTTTGTGGGCCAAGCAAAGCCTCAAGTGCTGCTAGTGCTTCTCTTTGTCAGCTTCTTCCACTGGAAACTCCAGTTCCTTTCTCTTGTCTACCTCGGACAAATAACCTGCAGGAATGCCAGATGGAAAGTATTCTTTTCAGACTGGCTGGGCACACAGGGCTCATTTACAGCTTGCTGGCGTGTGGTAGTTGTTCAGAGTTGACTGGGCACTGCCTCCTCACATGAGCAGAAGGAAGCCAGGCTCCAGAACACAAAAGAAGGAAAGGAGAAGGGATTTGTGTGGCAGATGAAGGCAGCTGACCTGCCAGTGCTGGCAGTGCAAAGGTGTTCAGTGGATCCTAAGCTGCAGAAAGACAGACTGCTCAGCCTCCTAACTATGCTGGTTTTGTCCAGGCCTCTCCAAACATTCATTGGACACCCTACTTCAGAGCAGTCCTCAGAAACAAATACTTCAGGGAGGGAAATTTAACCTCCCATGAGTTTGAGGCCACAAAGTAAATTAGTGGTGTGATTTGAGATATGACCAGAAGATGTAATTTCTCCATTTGTGCTTGGGCACTGCTAGGTACCACTAATTTTCCAGGGACAGACATTAAAGTGAAAACCAACTCTGTTCTTGCATCCCATCCAGCTTCAGCCTTCTCTTCATACAACCTCTTACAGTGCTTTTAGAAGGAATGGGGAACTGGTAGTGGTAGGAATGCCAACAGGAGAAAAGGCAGGGTGTGAAAACAGTGGTAAACAGGAATAATATGGATGGCAACAAGGTTCTCAGGAGGCCACCTGTGTGCTCAAGCCTCTCACTGGGGCACCAGCAGCCTTTGAGAGAACTTTTGTAGGACTGGAGAAACAAAGTGTAGAGTTGTCCTAACCTACAACCCTTGTGAAAGTGGCAGAAAGAGAACTTGTCTATAGCCAAGCTGTTTTCAAGTGACACAGCTTTTAGGTGAGTGTTTCTGGAAACATGACAGGTTTTCCTCTTGCTCTGTGGGATACCCTTACTTGATGATATAATTCAGGTACCTGTTAAATGGCATTGTGGTCAGTGTCACAGTCAGGTGGGCTCCCTGCAGGGCCTTCAAAGGGATAGAGAGGTGTCTTTGGACATGAAAGGTCTGACTTTGCAATAACACCTGAGCTTTTGCTCAGCAGGCCCCTCTCATCTGAGTCTGGAAGGTGTATGCACGTGCTGTGGGGGTGATTGAGGCCAGCTGGGTGCTCAGACCTGGTTGTCCCCCACCTGCACTGCCATCAGGTGTTGGGGTGTTGGCTTGAGCAAGTCTCTGTGGATTGGTGAGTTTAACACAGGCTCAGACATGGGGAAAAAGAGCTCACCCATTTCTGCCTCTTCCCAGGGCCCTGCTCTGACAGGCAGTGCTGTGCTGTCCAAGGTCTGGAGTCCTGGGGCTGCTCCAAGGCCGCCAGCCTTGCAGAGGAGAAGATGGTTTTGTTTAGCTTGCTTATATGAAGAAAATAATTCTGTCAAACTAGGGATCTGGAAAAGATGGGGGGAGCAGGAAGTCTTCCTGTTGGCATTTATTAGAAGGGAAATGAATGGTTTATGTTCAGGGGGCCCTGCTGGATGTGCAGTGCTCGGGGACAGTGGTCTGGTGAAAGCCTCCTGACTTCTTGAGTCCATGGTTAGAATGTGATCTGGAATGAGCAAGCAAGGGCTAAATATAGAAGCTGCTGGCTCCCATCCTGCCATGGCGGCTCTGCCCTCCCTGCAGTCCTGGAGGCTGCAAGCTCTGCCTATTGTTCCGGTCACATTCTTGTGTCCCACGATGGGGCCTCTGTGATGGAATAAAATGAAGAGAAGCAGATGGGAAAACAATAACCCAAGGAACGGGCCCTGAGCTTTGCTGGAAGCTTCCAAAAACCCATAAATCCCCAAATGCATTTGTGCTGGATTAGGGAACTGAAGCAAAGCAAGAGCCAAGTACTTCCCTTCCTGTATCCATGTGCTCTTATTGCCCAGAGAAAACTGTCTAAGGGGGCTCTACCTTGCAATAAATTATTGTAGTGGCTACTCTGTTTTCTCGGAATTTTAATTATGGTACCTTCCTTGTCTGCCCTTTCTCTGCACTTCCTGACCGTTTTGTTTTGCAGGCTGAGGGATAAAATGACCCCACCTTTTCATCCTTCTCCTGTACTACTGAGCTGGCTGCAAACAAAACATAGTGGGAGCCTTGCCAGGCAATGGTGTGGTTCCCCTGAGGTGCTGGTAAGTGCTCTACAGAAAGGAATTGGTGACTGGGAGCCTCTTGGAAGGAGAGAGAAACTGGCGAGCACTGTGCAGAGAATATGATCTGCCTGAAATATGTTGAGTAATCATGAAGGTGTCGAAGTGATTGGAAGCCCTAAGACAGTTACAATTTCTTTCTGTTTGTATTTGAAGTGCAGATTGTTATCTATAGTATCCCTTCCTTAAGTGCATGCCCATGCAAAACCTTTGTGAGCAGCAGGCAGGCAGGATGATTCCAGAGGTGAATGAAAGAAGTTTGGTACTTTCTGCAGAACTCTGCTTTACCTTGCAAAAAGCAAACAACGTGTTTACTCACCTACCTGTCTGTGAAATTTTATTTGCTCACGCAGTTAAAAGCTGCAACTTCTTTCCCTGAGAGCCTGTTTGCTGCTGTCTCTTTGAGATGGAGCAGGTCCCCAGAGGATTACACCAATGTTGCAATTGGCCCAGGGGAAGAGGGAGGCTCTGCTTTGGGAAGCAGGGAACAGGATACAGAGTGAAGGGAAATGAGGTCTTCATTTGAACCAACCATCTTGTGAAACCTCATCTTTTGGATCTGAGGCAGGAAGAGCTGCACAGGCTGAATCTGTGTTGTTACAGCATAGGAGCTAAGTTATTTAAAACCAGGAGGGATCTATATACCAGCAATCTTCATCCTTGTTAAAATTCCACTTCTCTGCTCCTAATCCTTTCTCCAAGCATATATTCTTACAGTCACCTTCCTCCCTGATATGTTTGCTCTTTCCATTCACTGCCCATGTTAAACAGCTGTTGCTGCTCTGAATGGACAGATGCAAGGAAAAGAATGTAAAAAAAGTAAAACTTTTCATGAGCTGGAGTGGTCCAAAGCTACTGAAACAACATCCAGGTTCACATTCTGATTAATGGCCTTTGAATTAGGCTTGGTGTTACTCAGGTGGTTTAATTTGCAGGACGCAGGTTTTCTGTGTGGCTGGTCACTGTACTGGGGTATTTTGAACAGAGGGATATGTACTCTGGGATTGTAACTATATAGTTTGTTAACTTTATTGTTCCTTTCATTTGAGTGGGAGTTTTTTTTCATTGAAATTATAGAGTGTTTATGCCCTTCTGTTCTTTGTGTACCTAAATCACATAGGAACCTCCAAGTTCCTGGTAAAAAGTGAACTTGCTATTGATACAAACCACTGTGTTGTGCACAGGAAAGTGCATTGCTTCCTTTGACCAGGTGTTGTGTGGCAAATTTGTTTCATGTCCCACGTGCCCTGCTGTGCTGCAGCACTGTGCTGCAGCTGATGTGCTCTTGTGTCTCTGCTTCTACAGCTGGGGATAAAGAGCACACCTGACAAAATGTGTTTCAAAGGCAAAGAGAGCCAAATGGAACTGGTTCCTGCTCCAGTTGATGTGTTTACTTGGAGGACTGTCCTCAGGAAGAATGCTGAGGACAGGGAACTGCTCCTGCCAGCCCACTGGTGGTACAGGAAATTAATGTTTCTGTTTTGTTACCCACCTTGGTTTTAATTAGGGCAAGCCTGGCTTCCTGCTGAACAAGGGACCAGTGGAGGTGGATTTCATGAGGGACATGAAATATGTCCTCCTTTCTTTGAGCTTGGAGCCACTGACAGCCTTTTCATACCATCTGAATGGGATGTGGGAGGAAGCAAGGGAGGAGGAAAAAGGCTCCAGGCTGATTTTCTCTTTTAGAGTCTGACTCCCATTCCTGTTGTCCCAGGGGAGAGTGGTTTAAACCACCAGTCAATGACCTTTTCTCAAATGCAAAGCAAATATTTTCTCAGCAGACAAGCCATTGTGAAAGCAACAGTAGAGGGCTGGGAGGTGGCAGGTTATCTGTGGATAGGTTGGGTGCCAGTGTGGATGACACCAGGAGAGCCAGCAGAGAGACCTCCAACCACTTAGAGAGGGACCTGTCCAGGCTTGACAGAGTGGGAAGAGCAGAGTGGCTCACACAGTGAGGAATAATGAAAGAAAGGCAGAGTCTTCAGTAGGTGTGAGGTCATGGAGCTCAGAGGTGAAGGAGGGAGAGAATTCTCCAGGTTGCCTTGTCTCACTTCCAAGGCACCAGCTAAAGCCTTTTGTATGTGTGTAGGTAAGAGTTCTGTTGGTCAAATGCAGTTACTGTTAAGAGTTAAAACCCCTAAAACCCCAGACCAGCACAGAGTAGGGCATAAACGGTTGAATCCTCAATTAATCTGCACATGCAATTAAACTGCACATGTGGAAGCAAAATGTTTGGGCTTGAATGAAGTATTGAATTCCATTTGGGTGGGATGGTTTTTGTTTTGGAAAAAAGCTGGAGTAATTTAATTATTTCTTAACATTGAAGCTATTCTGTAATTTGCAATTTGAAAGTGCAGCTTGGGGGAGCTGATTGCATTTCTCAGTGCCTGATCCTGAAAGTGAATTGATTGATTTCATGAGCCAAACTGACTGTTTGACCTTCACATTCTTGATTGATTTCATGAGCCAAACTGACTGTGAACAGAACTACCTTCACATTAGAGCCCTACAGACCCCTTGGCCCTCAGGAATAGAGCAGCTGGAGGCAGCTGAGAGGTCTTCCTGCTGTTATGGACAGGGGTTCTTGGCTGAGAGTAACTGGGAGTGATTGCTTTGTATTGTATGGTCTGTACTGCAGGAAGAAGGAACATTTTCTTATGTGATTTTTTTAAACCATTAAAACTTGCTCTAGCTCTACCTCTGAATGTCCACCCCATTTTTGATATCACACTGGCATCAAGTCCTCTTGCATGCAGTTTTGAAGTAGATTCTTGAAGGATGCTTTTGTCCTAGGTATGGGTAGTTTGGTTTGCTTTACAGCTCCACACTGTCACAGAATGAGTTTATCTTGAAGCAGGAAGGATTCTTGCTGCAGTCCCTTGAGACTTCCTTGTGCTTGTCCTTGTACAATCACAGCATTTAGCTGGAGGCATTCACTTTTTGGGAAGAGTAGTCAGATGAGTGACTTGCCCCAGGGTGCAGAGGTGCCTGAGGAGGCAGCCTCAGAGTAGACTGCAGCTCTGCAGTGACTGGAGCCAAAGGCTCAGCCCAGCCTCCTCCCTGCTTCCTCGGGAGCCCGAGCCTCACCCAGCACTTGTGTTGCTGATGCCTCTGCAGTTTCTAGTTGCAGCCTGCAAATGACCAGGTTTGTGGGTCCTTTAGCGGTCATTTGGCTCGTGCAATGGAGAACAGACAGAAAAGGATTGAGGTTTGGCTTGTTCTATTTATAACTCTAAGCACCTACCCAGGTACAGCACCCCTTCAATTTTGAGAGAGAGGTTCTCCACCTTCCTGTTATTGAACCACACTTGTAAATCAGGAGAATTCTTTTTCTTTACTATTTTTGTTGGGAAGTGAGTAATGCCTAATGTTTCCTTCAATGTCATATTGATGCATATGTATTTTTGAAAAAACCATGGCTACTGTCCAGTCCATTCTGCCCCTTCCCATATAGCAAACTAATTTCTCATATGTTTGGCTGAAAAAGCAGCTGTGCATGAGACAGACACAGGGCAATGGCAAATCCAGCCCATGATGTATGTTAGCAGTATGAATAACTTACCCCTTTCTCTTGCTCCCTGTCTTTTCTGACAAGAGTAATGGAAAGTTAAAAGAATTCGTTAACATATGATAGATATTTAAAGAAACACTTCTTCCTGTAAAATGTGTGCACGGTTATCGACATCATAAGGAGAGCATTTTGTCTGGCTCCTGAATGATGGGAACTCATAACGCAGTAAATTACACCAATATAGAAGTTAATGTACTTGGCTTTAACACGGATATTTTACTGTTATTATCACGATCAAAAGTGACATACATCACTGTGACATGTACCCAGAATGGAAAAAAATCCCACCCTGGTGTAGTTGTGTCTAATAACCCCAATTATAGAGCTTTTTCTAATGCTTTTTTTATAACAGTTTTGCAGCTCTGTATTATCTGCTATTAATGTGAATTCTCTCCTATCTATAAATTTCTCGGGATTGCCTCTTCCCCTTCACTTTCCGTAATCACCATTTATTACCCACATGCTTCCCATAAAACAAGACTATAGGTGACAGAGAGAGATTGATGTTGACCTAGATACAGGCTAACCCCCAGCTTGAGCAAGTTTTTTCTTTCCTCCCCCTCAGCAATAACCTGCTCGTTACAGTGTTCAGGAGGCTTTGTTAAAAGGTTTAGCTTCTCCCAGCTGTGGGTGCTAAAAATAACATCATTAACTGAGACTTTTCGTGAACAGCAAATGAGCTCCTGGGGAGGAGGTGCTGAGGTGGACCAAGATGTAAATAAACAAGAGGAAACTCCATCCCACTGCCCTGTCAGCTCCAGGACTAACTTGGACTTGCAAGGTAACACACCAGCAAAGCTTTCTGTCTCCATCTCTGAGCAAAAAGAAGTTTCTCCATCCCCACTGCCTGGAGTACCTGATGATGATTTTGCTCACATAGATTTAGAGGCTTGTTTTAATGTTCTCACAATGGGCCTTTTCCCTGGGCAGCTGAATGCTTTGGAGACCTTACAAGGCTGCAGCACTTGGAAGTGCTCCTGGGGGCTTGAGTACTGAAAATCAGTCTTCTCTTGGAGGGGGCAGGTTGGAGTGTTCCCTGGCTCACTGAGACCAAGGGATTTAGGATAATCTGTGCCTGGCTGCAGGCTGCTGTGCTGTGGCTATTTTCAAACAGCTTTGTGATATTCCACGCATTTCCCTGGAATCTTCTGGGGCTTCCCAGCCCAAGTAGCTCATTTCTGCCTGCCCAGGCTTCAAGAAGTGAGTAGAGTGCGCCTGTCCCTTCTGTACCTCTCCCTGAGCCAAGGTCCCTGCCAAGCAGGATGCATCTATGGCATCTGTGGGAACCTGGGGCAGTTGCACTTGGTGATCATGAAGCGT